GTACTCCCATGCCAAATGCAAAAGGTTAGTAACACAAAGCAACCAACACTTAGCATGCAACAAGATATAAATAATCGCACAAGAGGGAAGAGACTTACTGAGTAGTCCATAGCCAAGTGTAATCCATAGCCAAGTGTAAAAGGTGAGTACATTCATACACAAGCAAGTAGGCATGTAAGCGTGATGCATGATGAATAAGCATGTTATATCAATGATGGATGAGCATGTGAGATGATATGATGCATGAACATATTAGCAAGGTATGATGCATGTCAAGATGTAGCAAGATAACTACTCAAAGGCAAAACAATCAAAGCAGCCACTAAAACTTTGAGCAAACAAACAACAAGCAACACACGACAAGCACATACAATAAATAACAAAGACCCACAAAAACTCAACAAACACGGAAAAAATCAAAGGTTGAAAATTCTCCAAAGTTAAAGTATTAGCTAGACCCTCGTGAACCCAGAACATGAAAACCAGAGGTTTTGGGTTCTGTCCCCAGTGGAGTCGCCAATCTATTGACGACCACTTAAGATTTTTTTCAAAATAAATTGAAAAATCAAGTGTGAAAAATATAAAAATAAGGGAGTCGCCACTCATCCAAATTATAAGGTGGGACAAGTCACCAAAAATAGGTCTGCGCAAAGATCGGAGTTCGGGGGTTCGGTTAGAAGTGAGGAAGGGCATACGCGCACCTCACAATCCTCCGTTTAAACACGGTTGCATACTTTAACATTGGGGGTTTTGATTCAATTGATTCATCATGCTTATGTTTGAGTCTTAATAGGAAAACTTAAAAAAAAGGAATAAACCAAATTGAAACATTTTTTAATTTTTTGGACTAAAATGGACTAAATCAAAGACATGCATGCACAATAACAAAAATATAAGGTTAAGGGACTAACTTGATTAAATCCAAAAGATGGAGGACTGATTTGATTAAATTAAAAAAAAAACATGGAAGATTGATTGGAAAAGATTTGAAACATTTGGACTCAGGTGCTTGAACATGAGAGTTTTGTGCGAAATTGAAATAAAAAAGAGATAACTTTTCTTTTTTTTTTTTTTAAACAAGATTAAGGCAAATGGAAGATTAAAATTAATTAATTATGATAATTAATTCAATTGAATGGCTAACTTATCATTAATTAAAATTAATTAAAATTAATTAATCATATTTATTAACCTCTAATCAAGATAATTAACTTTAATTATCTCAAATTAAGATCAATAAACATAATTAATTCACTCTAATTAAAATTAATTAACTTTATTAATCACATATTAAACTAATTATCATAATCAATTTATCATTTTATTTACTTTTTTTTTAGTTTTTTTTAGCTTGGGTCGGGTCAACCTGCCTGGAACCACAATACCATTCACCAAAATATGCAAAGAAAACAGATCAAACCAGACAGAAATAGAATCTGGACAGCAACAAAAAAGAAATTTAGGGTTCATTTCAATTGCGTCTCATTTCCAACAAAAAAAGGATAAACAATATTCATCAGGAAATAAAATGGACATTTTTTTGATTTTTCATTGATTTTCAGTAAACAAATACAAACATAAATAACATAAAAGCAGATCACAGAAGCAGGAAGACAAAGAAACAAGCACGGCGGAGCTTTCCGGGTAACAGATCGGAGTCCGATTTGGGGAATCCCACCCACGGGATCAAGCCCAGATCCTTCCCCTCACTGCCTCCCCAAAAAGACTCCTCTGTTGCGGGAAAATACCTAGCAAAAGAAGGCTGAAATATCGCCGGAATCTTGCCGGAATCAGCTCGATTTTCTTCTCTCTCCTTTTCCCCGAAACCCAGAACAATGACTCCCAAATCAAACTCCAAAATCAAAAAAAGACCCCCCTCCGATCAAACTCCAAAATCAGAACCCCCGGCCTCAATACCAAAAGAAATCCCCTTCCAGCTCCGAAATCAACCAGAAAAACCCCCAAAAACCGAACTCCAAAATCCACTCAAAATCAAACTCCAAATATCAATCAACCACAGACCCTTCCTCTAAATCAAACTTCAAAAACTCTCCAACCCTCCTCCCCTTTTGATTTTTTTTTTCATATATATATACCCAAATAAAAAATAAAATAAATAAAAAGGCTTGCTCCTGTCAATCAGTAATGATGAAGATTTCGTCTAGCATGTACTGTAGCGAGCAGGAGTGCAGGCGCGGTGTGCAGGGAGGCGGGGGCGTGGAGTGCTGATGATGGCTCGGGCGTGCGGGGGCATCATTACCGGCAGTGGGGCGCAGCAAAGCAAGCAGAGTGCAGGCGATCTGGTGCAGAGCAAAGCTGGTGCAGGAAGCAAGGCCGGGCACAGCAGAGTGCAGGCTGGGGCAGAGTGCAGACGATCTGGGCGCAGAGCAGGGAGCAGGGGCGTAGGTGCAGGGCTGGTGCAGCAAGGCTGGGCGTGCGAGGGGCGATGATGGCTCGGGCGTGCAGAGCTGGTTGCAGGTGTGTGATGGTGTGATGATGGCTAGTCCGGTGATAGGGGGTAGGGCGCGGTGCGGGGCAGGTGCAGGTTAGGGGTCTGGAAAACAAGCCGAGCTCGGGTGAGGATGCAGAGCAGGGACGCTGGGCGGGCGCAAGGCTGGTTCAGGAGAGAGAAGAAAAATGAAAAAAATTGATGGGGGGGGAATGGGAAAGTTCCAGATGTCTTCCCTTTTTTTGGGTTCTCCTTTTTTTTTTTTGGGTTTGGTATTTGGGTTTGGATAATTTAGTGGGTTTTAGTTGGGTTTGGGTCTTGGTTTAAATTTGCTGGTGGGCTCAATAATGGGGTTTGGGCTAGATTGTGGGTTTTGGTGATTTTTCATCCTCAGCCTTTCAATTTCTTCGATTGAGTCCTCTTTCTTGAGTTTCTTTTCCAATTTCTTCTTAAATTTCTTGTTGCATGTAGTCCCTGAAACAAAAATAAAAATATAGATAGCTTAGTTAAATAAAAGGGGAAAATCCATATTTTTATATTTTTGATTTTTTTTTTTTTGGATAAAAATTTGAATTATAACAGCCACTGAATAACTTAGTACTAAACTTCAATCCTTTCTAGAAGAATAGGGTACACTAATACAATAATCTTATCCTTACATTTTTGAACATAATGGGTGAGCCGAACGTAAACACAAACACATCCTTGATTCTATTTGTACTCTGCTCATTTTGTCTTCTTATCTAGAGCAATTTTGGGGTGAAGCCGTTCTTATAGCTGTTTTTCTCATTAATTGAATTCCATCATCAGTCATCAATATTAAGTTTTCATATGAATGTTTACGTGATATTCTTCTTGTCTATGATCTTCTTAAGGTTTTTGGTTGTGCTTATTTTGTTCTTCTTCCACCTCATGAATATAACAAGTTAGAGCCTAAAGCTCGATTATGTTGTTTTTTGGGTTATGGGATTACACATAAAGGATATTGTCTTTGGGATCTTTTGTCACAAAACCTTTAAGTCTCATGTTATGTTGTCTTTTGGGAACACACTATGTTTTCCTTGTTATCAAACTTCTAGGTGTCGTCTTTTGATCAACCTCCACTTTTTACTAACCTTTCTATTAAGTAATTTCCTAATAAATCTGATGCAGATACATTTGATAAGCTCTATGATGCCTTTCCACATGCTCCACCTGGTTTTATAAAAGATGCTCTACCTGTTGGTAAGGCATTAGACAATGCTGAGTCTTCTTCCTTTACCCTTTTTATGTCACTTGTTGGATCTAATCCTGTTGATATTGAGCTTGAAAATGAGATCCTTAATCCACCTTTAAGTCATCCTACTCTGGTAAGAAATCTTACTAGCTATCTTCATGACTATCATTGTTTTCTTGCTATTACCTCCTTACATGAGCGTCAATCCTATTAAAAGGCCTCTTCTAACCCTTTTTGGCAATAAGTTATGTAAGATGAATTGCAAGCTCTTGAGAAAACTCATACATGAGATTTAGTTGATCTTCCTTCTAGAAAGTCTCTAGGTTGTAAAAGATGAAATTCAGTCTAATGGTTCCATGGAGCATTACAAGGCTCGTTTGGTTGCTAAAGAATTCACTCAAGAATATGGGATTGATTATGAGGAAACCTTTGCACCTACTGCCCGTCTTACTTTGGTTCGTAATTTGATTGCTATTACTGCTACTAAAGAATGAAAATTGTTTTAGATAGATGTGAAAAATGCCTCTCTAAATGGTGATCTTGTAGAGGAAGTTTACATGAAACTACCTCCTAGACTTGAGTACCCTCCAAACAAAGTTTGTTGATTGAAGCAAGCTCTATATGGTTTGAAACAAGCACCTCAAGCTTGGTTTGCCAAGTTTAGTACCACCATCAATGAATTTGGTTTTACTTCTAGTCCTCATGATACTGCGTTGTTCATATGTAAAACTAATCATAGTATGGTTCTACTACTTCTTTATGTTGATGATATGATTGTTATTAGGGATGATATTTTAGGTATTCATGATCGTAAGTAATTTTTCAGTCATAAATTTGAGATGAAAGATCTTGATGTTTTAAGCTATTTCTTGGGACTTAAGGTCACCTCTTCTGATGATGGTTATCTTTTTTCCTAAAAAAAATTTCCTTCTAATCTTCTATCTAAAGTTAGACTCACTGATAGTAAGACTGCATCTACTTCTCTTGAGCCAAATGTTCGACTTACACCCATTGGTGGTTCTTCATTAGCCGATCCTACTCACTATAGACAGTTGGAAGTTTGATTTTTCTTACTACAACATGACCAAACATAGCTCATGTAGTTCATGTTATTAGCCAGTTTATGGCTATGCCTTGCTCCACTCACTATGCAACAATACGTCGCATTATTTGCTATATTAAAGGTACCATTTTTCATAGACTTCACTTTTCTACTCATTCATACTCTTGAACTTTATCCTTACTCTAATGCTGATTGGGTTGAAGACTTTAATGATCATAAATGCACCACTGGATATTGTTTTTTTCTTGGTGATTCTTAATCTCTTGGCACAATAAAAAGCATACAGTTCCATCACGTTGTAACACAGAGGACGTGATTTTGAGCACTTGGAGATGCCTCATCAGAGTTACTTAACATATGTTGGCTACTAAAAGATATGAATGTTCATTAACCATCTATTACTAATTTTTATTGTGACAATTAGAGTGCCATGCAGATTGCTCATAATGATATCTTCCATGAACGCACTAAACACATTGAGATTGATTGTCACTTTGTTTACAATCATGTTGCACAAATAATTGTTCATTTGGTTTTCATTAGCTTTGCTGATCAATCAGCAAACCTTTTCACCAAGGTTTATTTTCCTGGATGCTTTCGTACTATGCTTTCCAAACTCAAGGTGGTTGCGATGACACCGACTTAAGTTTGAGGAGAGATGTTAAGATGTGAATACACTTATTGTAAATATTTTATACTTTAAAATATTTTTTTTATTCTCTTTGTATATTTTATACCTTAAAGTATTCACTTTGTAAACACTTGTATGTAAGTCATTGTACATATAATATTATTTAAGAAAATAATAAGCTTTTTTCAAATATTTCTCATTCTTTCCTGTTTATAATATGGACTTAACCCTCTAAATTTACAATAGATTTGTCTTACCTTATGGGCACGGATTAAAGGTTAATAAATACTTATTTCTACAATAAATTTACATGAAAAATAACAAAAATTAACTTTTATTTTAATTATCACATGAATAGTTTTAATTAATTAGTGAATTAAATTGAACTTAACTTTTATTAAACTTTATGTTAATTAATTATAAAAAAAATATATTTATTACATCATTATCTTGTACTTGTGCTATACAGACGCAAGATAAGAAAATCGATTTATAATAAAGTCCTTTCTAACACGTGTCATGAAAGCATATGTTAAGAAAATAATTAATGTATTTTTAATTATTAAATTGTATAAACAAATAAAATTTAACTTTAATTTTAATAATTAATCAATTAAATTAAGACATTTGATATTAATACTAAAATTAATATCATTTTTTTTATTTTTTTACATATATTATGATTAAAAAATATATTAACTACATTCTTAACTTATACTCTAAAAATTCAAATTTAAAAAAATCTTTATGATAATTATATATTTTTCTTGTATCAATGTCCTACCATCACTTTAGGGAGAACATGACAAATTTTCTACTGGTGGCAGATTTTTCTGTTACCTAATTCAAATTTTTTAATTTTAAGTGAAAGTAGATATTTAGATGGCTGATGCGCATAATTTTAAGAGGGCTTAAAATAAATATTAATTAATTAGTCTTAAATAACATATTTACTTTTAAATTTAATTTAGTTAATAACTTATAATATTTGAAATTACAAAACTATCCATACTTACATCCTCTTGCCCAATTTCTCTGTTCTCCGATTTCATTCTTCTTCCTTTCTTCCCCTTGTTCCTCCATTCTCCATTACTAGCAATCTCTTCCTCCCTTCTTTTCCGGCATTGGTGACCTCCTTCCTTTCATTTGTGACTTCTTCATCTCTTCATTGTCCTTCGATCTCTTTCTTTGGCTCAAGCCTTTCCTCTCTACCCTAGCTCTTCCCTTCAAAAAACCCAGTACCCAACTCTATTCTTGATCTGGGTTTCACTAGATTTTGGCATCCTCTCACCCCTCCCTCTTTCCTTCCTTTCCATTCGTGCCTCATTCCCTTCCGATTGAACCATAGAAAACCCAATGGTCTCGATCTAGGTTTGGCAATAGTGGAATAGTTGCGCGCCTTGTCGGAAGTGAAATCCAGATCTGACAGGGTGGATCAGTGCGAAGAGGATCGGTGGTTGTCTTCATCTTCAGACATTCGATGGCCGCAGTCATGATGCTTGAGAGAGAGAAACTTCCCTCCCCACCCTTTCCACGCACAGCCTCTGATCTGATGAACCCTTTTCAAGCTTTCAACTTTCTTAGTGATGAGATTGAGATTTCAGATCCAAAATCCTGGGTAGGGGAAAACGAATAGAAAATTATCGAGGGTTTTTTTCTGTTTGGTGAGAGAGAAAGTGGAGGATGGAGGGATGGGATTCCAGTATGGGAGAGAGAATGGAGGTAAGCTTAGTTTAAATGGCAACAATGGGGGAGTGGGCAGTAGTGGTGGCTGTCTCTCTGAGCACCGGGATTCTCATCTCCATTTTTATACCTGCAGATTGAAGGGAAAAAAACTATGAATCACAAACGAAAGTGCGAATATTTGGGCTTCTCAACTCAAATTTGATGTATTATGACCTTGACATGAACCTCCTCAACTCCGACCTAACCCCAATCTTCAATTTTGGAAGAGGAAGATCGATCATTTTTTCAGAAGATGCTTATTTTTGTTTATGGTAAAGAGGGTCCGTGGCTAGGTTTAAATGGAAAAGAAAGAGAAAGAGAAGGGGATGATTTGGGGGCTACGAGAATCAATTGTGTTGAGAAGTGGCAATGGCAATATGCTTTCAAGTTCAGGGATTGCAGAGGTAGGGGAAAAGAAAGGAAAGTGAGAGAGAGAGAGAGAGAGTGGGGTAAAGAGGAAGAAGACGATCAGTTGCCTTTTATTTTATTTTTGGGAGGTGATATGGCAACAATTTTTTATTATTTTTTATATAATTTTTAGATATTATTAAATAAATTATATATTTAATATTATAAATTTAAATAAAAATAATTAATTATTTAAATAATATATAAAATTTTATTAAACAAATAATATAAAAAATTATTCTTAAATTACTTTTCTTTATTTTATTTGATGTGGGTAGAAAAATACTCCCGACTCATCAAGAAGGCATGCGCCCTTTCCCACGTCATCGTTTAATAAAAAAAGGGGATTGATTTTCTGATAAATTAACCCAATAACTGTCACTTTCGTCGACAGACAGATAAAATTAGTTAGGCTGGGCATTTGAAACCGAATTGATAGGCTACTCGAAAATTAAATTGAAAAAATGAATTTGATTTGGTTTTAATGGTTTTTAATTTTTATTTTTTGGTTTTAATATAAACCAAATAAGTTTGATTCGATTTTGGTTGAGTTTTTTAAAAATTAAAAATCAAAATTAAGCTTCATAAAAATTAAAAATAAAATAAATATGATAAAATATGTGATAAAATATAATTTATTAATAAAAAATAATTTATTAATATTTATTTATCAAAAACTAAAATCGAACCAATTTTATTGATAATCAAACCAATCGATTTTGTAAAAATTTCGATTCAATTTTAGTTCTCAAAATTAAAAAAAAAAATTTTTGGTTATTTCAAAACCGATTTCAATTTTAACCGAAACCGATTTGCCCACCCCTAAAAATTAGTAACGTTAATAAAAATTTAAGAATAATTTTAATATTTTTAAATTTTAAAAATAAATTTACTATAGTTGTAATGATTGTGAGATTAAAATAGTATTTTAACTTTTTTTTTTATTATCTAAAAATCATCTGTATGATTAAAAGTCCTCACGTATACGTTTTTGCAGTGCTATTGGTGAA